GAAAATGGGACAATCCACAAAATTCTGACTCGCTAGCGACCTCCGAGACAGCCTGAATGCAGCGGAAAGACGTTGAGTGAACTATTATGTAGAAATACTTTGGAGAAAGTTTCGGAGAAAGTTTGGATGGTGAACTGCGAGTATAGAGCATAGATATGCCCCTGCAGAGGCTGTGGATGATGCAATTTCAATGATAAGACTTAGCAGCAATAAATTCCAATAATTTTTTTTAAGTATACGCACTACTTAAATACTAATAAAATATGACAATAATTGATGCAAATTTATATTGTCCTATATGTAGCTACTATTTTTTCCTTTTATTATATATGCTGGTTTTAATGGGCCATCTCCTTATTTTTTATTTCGTTTCAATCAAAAGGCTTCTCGCATAATTTTCATTTTGCATCAATATGCGGCCGAAATGAGTGTTTTATTCGATCGGATTTGCCGGGAAAATTAACGGATACCGAGATCCGAGCAAAGAAAGTTGACCGTGCAACGAGGTCATGTGCTACCGTTGCTTGATATCGTCTTCCTTGCCGTTCACATGCAGACTGTTCGAACAAGGGAAATTTCTGTCGAGGTTGAAGCAAGGCGTGTCTTCATTCATAGCTTCCACACTTGCCTGCTTTGAGCATGTGCTTTGCATGAGCACACTTTTCCCCATACCCACTCTCTGGCGTTATGTTTACACTTTGTGATTGTCGATAGGATTTGAGCCACTTCTGGGAACTATGACACGGCCGCACAAACTGTGCGTTAGTCGATGGGCGAGTGTGTTTATGCGCAGAAGGAAAGAAGGAGCGACGCGCTAGGACGTCGCGAATTCGCGGGCAGATGTGCCGAAAGCGGGTACCGAACCGAGAATGGGGCTCCGTCTGTTCCCGCCGGAGCAGGCTTGCCGGCTCCAGCTTAGAGGCGGCTGGAACGGCCTGTTCGGCCGATTCGGCCGAGTTGACCCATTTCCACTTGACCGAACAGACTGGCCTCTTTGAGGCAGGACAACCTGCAGAAACGACCAGGACGCCGGGGCTGCGTCCTTTTTTGCCACGAGGAGAGATGGGAAGTCGGGCCGATGACAGGCCTCGCCGCCTGCCAATCATGTGGAAGGAGGCTTTTAACAATTCCCCCTCGGCAGGGGAGCATTTCAAGAATGGGCAAATCGTCTTCTTTGTCCAATTGGACGAAAAGTTTTTGCCATTTGGGCTGTAATGTGTGGCGAACTGCTGAATATGGCGGCAAGTAATGCTCAACAGCGATGGCCGAGGTTAATTTCAAGACATAATTATTCGGCAATGTCGTAATGGCCATCGACAAATACATTTATTTTCCGTATCGAGATTACGAGTATATCAGTAGTATGACATGTATTCATCCAATTTCCTATCGGTATAATTTTCCCACAATCTGATGAGTACAGC